CGGGACAGGGCTGGGGACAGCTGGGACAGGGCTAGGGGCACTCGGGACAGGGCTGGGGACACTCGGGACAGGGCTGGGGACAGTTGGGACAGGGCTGGGGACACCCGGGACAGGGCTGGGGACAGCTGGGACAGGGCTGGGGACACTCGGGACAGAGCTGGGGACAGCTGGGACAGGGCTGGGGGCACTCGGGACAGGGCTGGGGACAGCTGGGACAGGGCTGGGGGCAGCTGGGACAGGGGTGGGGACACTCGGGACAGGGTTGGGGACACTCGGGACAGGGCTGGGGACAGCTGGGACAGGGCTGGGGACACTCGGGACAGGGCTGGGGACACTCAGGGTCCCAGCCCAGCCCCCGGTTGTAAAAGGAGATTTTTAAAGGGGATTTTTAGGGGGGATTTTTAATTTTTAATGGGGGATTTTAGGGAAGGATTTTAATGGGATTTTTAAGGAGGATTTTTAATGGGGGATTTTTACAGAGGAGGATTTTATGGGGGATTTCAAGGGGGGAATTTAAGGGGGGATTTTTAATGGGGGAGGATTTGAAGGGGGAATTTAAGGGGGGATTTTACGAGCAGCCCCAGGAGCCGGGGCCGCTTTATGGAGCCTCATTAGGGGCTGCAGCTATGCCGGGAATGTCCCCGGCTAATTAGGGCTGGCCGGGGACAGGGAGGTGTCACCGCGGGGGGGACAGGGGGGCAGGGGTGTCACCAGGGGAGGGGACAGGGGGGCAGTGACCCCCAGTGTGCGAGGAGTGGACACAGGGACGGACACAGGGATGGACACAAGGATGGACACAGGACGGACACAGGGATGAACACAGGGATGTGGCTCCAGCTGGGTCAGCGGGTCCTGCTGGGTTGGTGGCCCCGTGGCCACTGGCCATGTCCCCAGTGTCCACTCTGGCCATGTCCCCTCTGTCCACTCTGGCCAGATCCTCCAGGACACCCCCGAGGCCTCCCCGGCCCCTCCCATGCAGCTGCGGTCACCTCTGAGTGACCAGAGTGACCACTGCCCGTCCCCAGAGTGGCCACTGTCCCTGTCACTGTCCCTGTCCTGTCCCCTCTGGTGTGGAGGGAGCCCAGGCCGAGCCCGAGGGGGCACCGGGGGGGTTTTGGTTTTCATTTCTCTGCTCAAAGACTTGAACGAGCGCTCGCCTTTGTTCCGTTCCCCCGTTCCCATTCCCTGTTCCCTGCCCTGTTCCCATTCCCCTTTTACCATTCCCTTTTCCTGTTCCCGTTCCCCTTTCTCTGTTCCCATTTCCCTTCCCCTGTTCCCTTTCCCCTTTTCCCATTCCCTTTCCCCATTCCTGTTCCCACTCCTTTTCCTGTCCCTGTTTCCTTTTCCCCATTCCCTTTCCCCTTTCCCCATCCCCATTCCCCTTTCCCCCATTCCCTTTTCCCCCGTAGGGGGGACAAGGAGGGGACACGAATTCCTAGAAAACCTCAGGAACACCTGGAAAACTTCGGGGATTCCAGGAAAAGCTTAAGGAAAAACTGGATGTGACGCCAGGAATTCCTGGAAAACCTCAGGAAAGTCTGGACAGCACCAGGAAAAACACAGGAATTCCTGGAAAACCTGGATTTAACACCAGGAATTCCGGGAAAACCTCGGGAAAACCTCGGGAATAGCCCAGGAAAGGAGGGAATTCCCAGAATTCCAGCCCAGCATCCAAACCCCCAGAAAAAAAAAATGGGATTTCCTTGGAAAAGGGAAGATTTTTATTGGGAAACGTGGGATGAGGGGCAGAGCCCGACCCTTCCGAGGGAAAAACCGGGAAAATAGAAAAAACTGGGAATACAAAACCCGGGAAAAACCGGGAAAAAACTGGGAAAAAACTGAGGATTTTTGGGAAGGGAAGGAACATCTTGGGAACCTCCCGGAGTCTCCGAGGTTCCCGAGGGTGGAAAAGGAGAATTCCCAAAAAAATAGAATCTCTTGGGCTGGGAATGGCCCCGGAATTCCGGGAATGGCCCCGGCCCCGCTGCTCCCAAGGCTCCGGGAGGAGATTCCCGAAATTCCAACTCCTGGGAGCTCAAGTCTTCAACAGGGGAAGGGTTCAGGCAAGGCCCACCTGGAAATCCAAGAAATCCCTGGAATTCCTGCTGGGATTCCACGGGAAAATCCTAAAAATCCCATGGGATTGGGATGCCGTGATTCCCATGGGAGCTGCTCCGTGAATCCCCCCAAAATCCCTGGAAAAATAACCCCAAAATCATGGGAAAATGGCCACAAATCCCTGGGAAAAACAGACTCAAATTCCTGGAAAAACAGCCCCAAATTCCTGGGAAAATGGTCACAAATCCCTGGAAAAATAACCCCAAATCCCTGGAAAAACAAACCCAAAATCCTGGGAAAAGCAGCCCCAAATTCCTGGGAAAAGAGCCCTAAAAATCCTGGGAAAAAAGCTCAAAAATTGCTGGAAAAATAACCCTAAATTCTTGAAAAACCACCCCAAATCCATCCAAAACCACCCCAAATTCATGGAAAACCACCCCAAATCCATGGAAAACCACCCCAAATCCATCCAAAACCACCCTAAATTCATGGAAGAACACCCCAAATTCATGGAAAACAACCCTAAATCCATGGAAAACCACCCCAAATCCATGGAATCCCCGACATTCTGGGAATTGTGCCCCGGATTTGGGAATTCCCTCCCTCCCAAACCCAGCTCCTCCTTTTCCCTTTGATTTTTTGGGGAAAACTTCAAAAACTGAGGAGCAAAATCCTCCAAGGAAAAGGGGAATTCCCTGGGTGGGAGCTGGGAATTCCATGGAAAATTGGGAATGAGGGAAAAGGGGATCCTGACCTGAGGAGAGGCCGGAGCAGCTCAGACGATCCCGAACCTTTCTGCCCTTTTCCGCTTCTTTGCCTGGATTTGGGAAGGGCCAAAAAGAGGGAAAATTCCAGAAATCCGTGAGGAGAATCCCGGGAAAAAGAGGGAGAGGGAGGGGGGTGGGAATGGGGAAATTCCTGATCCCAAAGGGCAGGAAAATCCCGGGATTTGGGGGGGTTTTCCTGAGGAAAAGTGGCCCAAAATACAGGGAATTCCAAAGTCCGAATTCCTGGTGAAAAGACCCCAAAATTCCCAGGAAAACAATCCTGAAATCCCTAGAAAATTAGTCCTGAATTCCTCGAAAAACAGCCCCAAAATACCTGAAAAAGCAGCCCTGAAATCCATGGAAAATTAGCCCCAAATCCATGAGAAAAGCAGTCTCAAAACCCCTGGAAAATGCCCCATAATCAATGGAAAACCCCCCAAAATCCCGGGAAAACAATCCTGAAATCCCTGGAAAACCTCCTCACATCCCTGGATCTCTCAAGGGCTGGGAATTGGGAAGTGGTTTTGGGATGAGCCCAGGAATTCCTGGGAATCCTGGTCCCAAATCCCAGGAATTCTGGCCCCAAATCCCGGAATTCCCACCCCAAATCCCGGAATTCTGGCCCCACCTCGGAGTCCTCGGCGGCCCCGGCCCCGGTGACGATCCCAAACCTTTCCTTCCTCTTCTTCAGCTTCTCATCCTCCTCGCTCTGGGGTTGGGAATGACGGGAATGGGATCAGGAATGGGATCAGGAATGGGTCCCTGGGATCCCTCCCGATCCCATTCCAGGGCAGGGAAACATTCCCGTTATCCCTGGGTGAGCCAATTCCCCAAAAAAAACTAATCCCCAAAAACCCCAATCCCAGAAAAACCAAAATTCCCAAAAACCCCAAATTCCTAAAACCCCAATTCTCAAAAAACCCAAAATTCCCAAACCCCAAAAGATCCAATTCCAAAAAAACCAAAATTCCCAAAACCCCAATTCCCAAAAAACCAAAATTTAAAAAAAAAACAATTCCCAAAAACCCCAATTCCCAAAAACCCCAAATTCCCCAAAACCAGGGAAGGATGGAGCCAGCAGAGCTGGAAAAATGTGGAATTTTGGGATAATCCTGGTGTGGGGAGGGCGCCCTGGCATTCCCAGAATTCCCAAAACTCCTGGAATTCCCAAAATTCCCAAATCTCACCTTCTTGGAGAGGGAGGAGACGTTGAGGCCGAACCTCTGAGCCCTTTCCTTGAGCTTTTCCAGGTTTATCTGGGAAAAGGAAATTTGGGATTTGGGATCCTCGGGACTTCCAAAGGAGGAAATTCCGGAATAAAAATTCCCAAAATTCCTGAGCTCGGGGCTTTTCCAGAGGGGCTGATCCCAGGAAAACTCCGGGGGTTTTTTGGGGGAGTTGAAACCCAAAATTGCAGCTGGGATCCCAAAATTCCACCCAAAATTCCAACTGAATTCCCAAAATTCCACCCTAATTCCCTAAAATTCCAGCTGAATCCCCAAAAATCCACCATAATTCCCAAAATTCCTCACGAGTTCCTGTTGGAATTCCCCAAGTTCCACCCAAATTCCCAAAATTCCACCCAAATTCCGTGGGAATCCCCAATCCCAGATTTCCTTACCGTGGGTTTGGAGTCTGCTGAGAGCCCTGGAAAAGGAGAAAATTCCCAGATTTCAGCCCAGAACTGGGAATTCCCAGGAATTCCAGGAAAATCCCAAGCCTGGAGTTTCCAGGATGAGAAATCCCAGGAAAATCTGGGATCATTTGGGGTCTTTTCCCACCAAATCCCGAATTTCCCGCTCCCAGAAATGATGGAAAAGGAGAATTTGCAATGCCAGGGAATCCCCAGAATTCCAGGAATTCCCAAAATTCCCATTCCAGGAATTCCCTCTCCTCACCTTTTGTGGGAATTGTGGCCAAGCCAAACCTGTGGGAATGAAAAAACCAGGAATTAGGGCTGGAATTTTGGGAATTAGGGCAGAATTTTAGGAATCAGGGCTGGAATTTTGGGAATCAGGGCTCCTGGGATAGGAAGGATTTGGAATCCTCTGGGAATTCCATCCCAGGCAGGAATTCCTTCCCAAAAATTCCCACTAAATCCCCCAAAAATTCCCACAAGTTCCCTTTTCCCAGAGTTCCCTGATCCAGGGATTTGGAATCCTCTGGGAATTCCAGCTCAGCCCCACCCCAGGCAGGGATCCCACTCTGAATTCCCAAATTTTCCCCCAGAAGTCCCAAATTTCCCCCTAAAATTCCCAAATTCCCCCCCAGAATTCCCAAATTTCCCCCCAGAATTCCCAAATTTTCCCCCAGAATTCCCAAATCCCCCCAGCATTCCCACGTTTCCAGCTCACCGTGCTGCCCTCGCTGCCTTTTTGCTCTCCAGGCTGACGGGGACGTTGAACCTCTCGGCCCTTTTCTGCATCCTCTGGGAAAATGGGAAAGGAAAATGGGAATTCTGGGAATTGCCAGGGAAAACTGGGAATGCACAGCAGGGAATTGGGATTTTTCAGGGAAAAATGAGAATTTTGTGGCAAAAAAATGGAATTTTGCAGGGAAAATTTGAGATTTTTCAGTTGAAAATCGGGATTTCCAGGGGAAAATAGGGATTTTCTAGTGGAAAATTGGGATTCTCCAGAAAAAAAAAAAAGGATTTTTAGGAGAAAATTGGGATTTTTCAGGAAAGAACGGGATTTTCCAAGAGAAAACAGGGATTTTCCAGTAAAAAATTGGGATTTTCCAGGGGATTTTACCTCCATCTGGGAGATTTCCGAGGAGATTTTCACCACTTTCTTCTCCTGGATCCTGGAAAAAGTTTGGGAAAAGGTCAGGGGTGCTGCAGGGGGGATCTGCCCCCGCTCCCAGAATTCCCTGACCCCCAGCCCCTCATTCCCAGATTTCCCTGGGAATTCTCCTCACACGTCGGGCGACTTCAGCGGCGCCTCCTCCACCTTCACGGGCGGCTCCGGGGCCTTGGGCTCCTCCTCCTGCAAACCCGGGGAAATCCGTGGGAAATCCAAACCCTGGGATCCCAAACCCCGAGATCCCAAAATCCAGCATCCCCCATCCCAAATTCCCGGCACCGCAGTGTCCCAGGCACCAAACCCAGCGGATTTAGCCCCAAAAAAAGCTGGGAAAACAAAAAAACGATTAGAATTCTGGAAAGCTGCCTCGTTCCCACCCCAAACCCCCCGGAACACCGGGACGACCCCAAAACCCGAGATCCCAAACCCCGAGATCCCAAAATCCAGCATCCCCCATCCCAAATTCCTGTCACTGCAGCATCCCATGAGCCAAACCCAGCGGATTTAGCCCCAAAAAAGCTGGGAAAAGGAGGAAACGATGAAAATCCTGGACAGCTGCCTCGCTCCCACCCCAAACCCCCCGGAACACCGGGACGACCCCAAAGGCCCACCTCGATCTCCTCTCCCAGCACGTCCTCCTCGTTGGGCTCCTCCTCGGCTGGGGGGAAGCAGGGCAGGGTCAGGGCGCAGGGCCGCAATGTGGGGAGGGGGAGGCGGCCGCGGGCGGGGGCGGGGGCACCCACCGTGCTCCTCCAGGTAGGCCTGCAGCCGCTGGATCAGGTCCTGCTTGTTGCCCTTGGCCTCCAGGCCCCGCGCCAGGCACTCCTGCTTCAGCTCCGCCAGCTGCGGCCGCGGGGGCCCCTCAGGACCCCCGGGGACAGCCGGGAGCCCCAGGGACCCCCCAGGGACCCCACAGAGACCCTCAGACCCCTCCATATCCCCCTCAGAGCCCCCCAGAGCCCCCTCAGACCCTCACAGTCCCCTCAGAGCCCCCTCAGATCCCCCTCAGAGCCCGGCCCGTTTCCCGCCGCTGCCCCGCGCGCCCCCTCAGCCCCGGCCGCGGTCCCCGCCGTCCCCCCGGGGCTGTCCCCGCTGTCCCCGCGCTGTCCCCGCCGCTCTCCCGGCCCCGCTCCGCTGCCAGCGGCACCTTCAGCTTGTGCAGCTCCACCGGCTCCGCCGCCATCTTGTCACCCCCGCGCCGGCCCCGCCCCTCGCGCCGCGCCGGCCAATCAGCGCCGCGCGTCCTCCGCCGCCCCGCCCAAACGCGCCGCTCGCCATTGGTCGGCGCTGCCGGCAGCGCCCGCGGCTGATTGGTCTGTCTTGCGCTGGGGGCGGGGCGATATTAACTGACGTGGAGATGAACCAATAGGAATACGGAGATGCTGAGCGGCGGCCAATGAAATGAGAGGGCGGGAAATGCGGACTTCCAGGAGGTGGGGCCGGGACCGGAGCGGGGTCATTGAGGGACTCGATGTAATTAATTATTAAATATTATCTCATTGCATTAATAATCCTAGCTAGAGTTGGATATTTATAATTTCCTGCTCAGGTTATTACGTGTTTAGTGTGATATTATTGTTATTAATATATATGCTAATATTATTGATTATATATTAATATTATTAATAATATTAAAATCACCTGTATTAATATATGTAATATCAATATAATTATTACTACACTATTATTCCTTGCTATGTTATTTTTAACGAAAATATATTATTTGCTATGATTTAAACTCTTTATTATGTAGGGGTAAAGTAAAAATTGTTTATATTGTGGTTATTTAATTGCACTTTTGCGTATTAAGTATTAATTATTTATTATAAATTCCCTCATTAATTATTCGCCTTCACCCAGGGGTGCAAAGCACAACTTTGGGGTCATTTCCCGGAACATTCCAGAGTTTCCCACTCCCTTCCCCTCTCCAGGTGCTGCTCCCGAGGGCTGCGGGTTTATTCCGCTATTAAATTGATTATAACTTAATTTATTAATAATCTTATTTAGTACTACTCCCTATTTTTTTATTTCTCATTAAGAACACTTTGAGTCTCCAGAACAGCCCCCGTTTCCCGCAGCTCTCGAGCCACAACCCCCTCTTATTATCATTAAAGAAATTTAAACAAATTAAGTAATTAGATAAATTTGATTAATTTAAATAATATCCCTTATGGCTATGTCGGCCGCCATGATGAGTGTGGCGGCCGCCATGATGGGTGTGGCCGCCATGATGGGTGTGGAGGCCGCCATGATGGATTGAGGCGGCCATGATGGGTGTGTTCGCTTCTCCGTCAGGCCCGGCCGTGTCTCCCGGACTAACCGGACACGCCCTCACCCCAAGGGACAGCCGGGAGCCCCAGGGACCCCTCAGGGACCCCACAGAGACCCCTCAGGACCCCCGGGACCCCCAGATACCCCCGGGACCCCCAGGGACCCCTCAGGACTCCCAGATACCCCTCAGGACCCCCGCGTCCCCCAGGGACCCCTCAGGACCCCCAGGGACCCCTCAGGACCCCCAGATCCCCCTCAGGGACCCCACAGAGACCCCTCAGGACCCCCGGGACCCCCAGATACCCCCGGGACCCCCAGGGACCCCTCAGGACTCCCAGATACCCCTCAGGACCCCCGCGTCCCCCAGGGACCCCTCAGGACCCCCAGGGACCCCTCAGGACCCCCAGATCCCCCTCAGGGACCCCACAGAGACCCCTCAGATCCCTCTCAGGACCCCCAGATTCCCCCAGATCCCCCTCAGGGAATCCCCAGACCCCTCCAGATCCCCCTCAGGACCCCTCAGAGCCCCCCAGATCCCTCTCAGGGCCTCACACTCAAGATGGCGCCGCACGCTGAGGCCTCCCCGGTACCGCCAACATGGCGGCGCCCACAGGGTTGTCAGTGACGTCATTCTCTTTCCGGTGCGGACCGGAAGTGGTGCTGCCATGGCGGCCGACAGCTCCAGGGGCCTTGGGGACACCGGGGGGGCCTTGGGGACCCCCAAACCAACCCCTATTTCCACACCCCCCTTATTAAATCAACTCCCCTCTTTTTTTTTATTTTTTAACACAAAAACCACCACTCGATTTTCTTTAAAAAACCCAAATAAAAAGAAAAAAAATAGATTTTTTTATTCAAAGCCCTTTTTTTTGTTTTTTGGGGTGGGGGTCGGGGGTCTCCTCAGCGCGGCAGCGGCCGCCGCCCCTTCTTCCTCCTCTTGTGCTTGGTGTCCCCCCTGGGGGGGCCCCCCTGGGCCTGGGGGGGTCCCTGGGGGGGTCCCGCAGCCCCGGGGGGGGCGGGGAAAGCCCCCCCGGCCTCGCCCGGGCCCGGCTCCCCCCGGAAAACGCGGGCCAGGAAATCCTGGAGGTCAGCGGGGGACGGGGGGCTGCCCTTGGGGGGGGCCCTGGCGGAGAGGAAAGGGGGTTGGGGCACAGCTGGAGGCGCCTGGGCACAGCTGGATGGAGCTGGGCACTGCCTGGGCACCTCCTGAGCACACCTGGATGTGCCTGGGCACTCTCTAGAGACCCCCTGGGCACACCTGGATGCACCTGGGCACACCTGGATGGACCTGGGCACTCCCTGGATACACCTGGATGTACTTTGACGCACCTGGGCACTCCCTAGACACGCCTTGGGCACACCTGGGCACTCCCTGACCACACCTGGACACCCCCTGGGCACACCTGGGCATTCCCTGGACACACCTGGGCATTCCCTGGACACCCCCTGAGCACACCTGGGCACGCCCCGGCCCCTGGACACCCCCAGGACACCTCAGGACACACCCAGGGACATTGGGGACACTGTGAGGGGTCCTCAGGACACCCCTGGACACCCTCAGGACACCCTCAGGACACCCCTGGACACCCCCAGGACACCCCAGGACACCCCTGGCCCCACCCCGGCACTGACCGCTGGCGTCCGGCGGGCGTGGCTGTCCTGGCGCCGAAGGAACCTGGACACCCCCAGGGCACCCCTGGACACCCCCAGGACACCCCCAGAACAGCCCTGGACACCCTCAGGACACCCCTGGACACCCCCAGGACAGCCCTGGCCCCACCCCGGCACTGACCGCTGGCGTCCGGCGGGCGTGGCTGTCCTGGCGCCGAAGGACAGGTGGTAGGGGACACGGTGGCTGTCCGGGGAGATGGCCACGCGCTGGCAGCCCGCCCACTCTGGGGACAGACAGGGGACACGGTCACGGTGACACCAGAGAGACCCCTGGGGTGGGCATGGTGTCCCTTGGCCACGGTGACACCAGGCCCCCCCCGGGCCCTGTCACCCCCGGGCTGGGTGTGGCCCCCTGTCTGGGGCTGTGTCACCCTGGCGTGCGCGTGTCCCTCACCGGTGACGTCGTAGATGTGGCCGTCCATGCGGGCCAGGTAGGTGACCTTGAGGCCCAGCAGGCTGGACTCTGCCCACAGGTCACCCTCTTCGGCCGCGTGCCACCCGCCGCACGGGGCACAGTACCGGCCCCCGCGGGGGTCCCTGTCCAGCTGGAACCGCCTGCGGGGACATTGGGGACACTGTGACACCCCCAGGGACATTGGGGACACTGTGCCACCCACCGCAGGGGGCACAGTACCGGCCACCACGGGGGTCCCTGTCCAGCTGGAACCGCCTGTGGGGACATGGGGGACACTGTGACACCCCCAGGGACATTGGGGATACCCCCAGGGACACTGGGGACACTGTGACACCCCCCAGGGACATTGGGGACACCCCCAGGGACACTGGGGACACTGTGACACCCCCCAGGGACATTGGGGACACCCCCAGGGACACTGGGGACACTGTGACACCCCCAGGGCACAGCACCGGCCACCACGGGGGTCCCTGTCCAGCTGGAACCGCCTGTGGGGACATTGGGGACACCCCCAGGGACACGGTGAGACCCCAGGACACGATGTCCCCCCCACTGCTGTCCCCATTGTCCCCACTGTCCCCTCAGTGTCCCCTCAGTGTCCCCACTGTCCCCTCAGTGTCCCCAGTGTCCCCAGTGTCCCCTCAGTGTCCCCGCTGTCCCACCTGTGGCGTCCCCCGCAGCGCGTGCAGCCCATGGCGTCCATGGCGTCCCTGAGCTCCTCCTGCAGCCGGCCCAGGAACGCGCCCAGCGCCCGCGCCAGCTCCCCCTGCGCCAGCTGCTTCCTGGGATCCAAAATATGGGAATTAGAACCCAAAAAACGGGATTGGCACCCCAAAAATGGGATTGGCACCCCAAAATATGGGATTGGCACCCCAAAAATGGGATATACGGGCCCAGGAACACGCCCAGCGCCCGCGCCAGCTCCCCCTGCGCCAGCTGCTTCCTGGGACCCAAAAAATGGGGATTAGAACCCAAAATATGGGAATTAGAACCCCAAATATGGGATTCACACCCCAAAATATGGGAATGACACCCCGAAATATGGGATTGGCACCCCAAAATTTGAGATTCCCACCCCGAAATTCGGGATTTCCCCCCAAACTCACACCTGGTACTCGCGCCACCTCTCGGGGCTGCTCACCCACTCCCAGCCCACCCCAAAGCATGGGATTTACACCCCAAAAATTGGGATTTACACCCCAAAGCATGGGATTTACACCCCAAAATTGGGGATTTACCCCCCAAAATTGGGGATTTCCCCCGCAGACTCACGCCTGGTACTCGCGCCGCCTCTCGGGGCTGCTCACCCGCTCCCAGCCCGCCCCAAACCCCGGGATTCACACTCCAAAAAATGACATTTCCACCCCAAAATATGAGACCTACACACCAAAGCATGGAATTTACACCCCAAAACATGGAATTTACACCCCAAAATTGGGGATTTACCCCCCAAACCCTGGGATTTCCTCCCCAAACTCACGCCTGGTACTCGCGCCGCCTCTCGGGGCTGCTCACCCGCTCCCAGCCCGCCCGCAGCACCTTGAACGCCGCCTCCGCCCGGGGGTCGCGGCTCTTGTCGGGGTGCACCTGCCAAGGCACGGCCCTCAGGTCCCCAGCACGTCCCCAAGGTGTCCCCAGGGTGTCCCCAAGGTGTCCCCAAGACCCACCAGCACCGCCAGCCTCCGGTAGGCCCGCCGCAGCTCGGCGTCGCTGGCCGTGGGCTCCACCGCGAGCACCCGGAACGGGTCCAGCTCCTCCTCGGCCACCCCGGCCATGGCCACCAAGCGTGTCACCTCCTCGTCACCGCCGCCACCCCCTCGCTGGCCGGCCCGCCGCCGCAGCCGCTCGCCCAGCAGCTCCCGGGAGCGGCGGAGCCCCGCGGAGGCGCCGCGGAGGACGGAGCGCAGCGCCCCGAGGAGGAGGAGGAGGAGGAGGAAGAGCAGCGCCAGGAGAGCGCCCAGCAGGCGCAGGCACAGCGCCAGCCCGGCCCGGGCCAGCCGCAGGGTCCCGCGCTGTCCCCTGCCGGTGTCACCGAGCTGCTCCTCGGGCTCGGGGCGGCGTTGTGGCGGTGGCCGTCGTGCCCCGCGGGGGTCGCCGCTGTCCCGCGGGGGTCCCCGGTGGCGGCAGCCGAGCCCGCACGGGAGGTCCCGGGAGGGGCTCGGGGGAGCGGCCGGGGGGCCCCGGCAGCCGCAGCGACCCCCGGGGCTGGGGACACTGCCAGGGCTGGGGACATCCTCAGAAGTGGGGACACCTCCGGGGCTGGGGACACTGCTGGGGCTGGGGACACCCCCGGGGCTGGGGACATCCTCAGAAGTGGGGACACCTCCGGGGCAGGGGACATCCCCAGCGTTGGGGACGTGCCCGGGGTTGGGGACACTGCTGGGGCTGGGGACACCGTCAGAGGTAGGGACACCACCAGGGTTGGGGACATCCCCAGGGTTGGGGACACTCCTGGGGTTGGGGACACCCTCAGGGCTGGGGACATCCCCAGGGCTGGGGACACCCCGAGGACCGGGGACACCACAGGGACTGGTGACACCCTCAGGGTTGGGGACACTCCCAGGATTGGGGACACTCCCGGGCTCGGGGACGCCACCGCGGTTGGGGACAGGAGCGTGGCGCTCTCGGCTCTCGCTGTCGCCGGTCCCGGCCGTGGCTCCGGTGGCTCCGGTGGCTCCGGGGGCCGCGCGGGGGGGGCCGCAGCTCCCGCCGCCCCCGGGGGCCGCCCCCCGGTACCGGGGCCGCTGCATCGCCCCGGGGTCAGGTCACGGCCATGCCTGGGGACAGCGGGGGGACAGCGGGGGGACAGCGGGGTCAGCACCCGGGCACCGGCACCGTGGAGAGCCCCGAGGGACCCCTGAGCCGCACCGGGACAACCAGAACAGCCCCGGGACTCCCCAAAATGAAGCCGAGACCCCACAAAATGAACCTGGGACCCCCGAGATGGCCCCGGGACCCCCGAACCGAGCACTGGGACCCCCCAAAATGGACACGGGACCCCCCAAAACAGACCCAGGACCCCCAGGATGGACACGGGACCCCCCAAAATGAACCCGGGGACCCCCAGGATGGCCCCGGGACCCCCGAACCGAACACCGGGACCCCCAGAACGACCCCGAGAGCCCCGAACCGAGCCCCGGGACCCCCCAAAAAAGGACTCGGTACCCCCAGAAGGGCCCCGGGACCCCCAGAATGGCCCCGGGACCCCCCAAAATGGACACGAGACCTCCCAAACCTGCCCGGGGATCCCCTAAACCGACCCCCGGGACACCTAAACTGGCCCGGAATCCCCGAACCGGGCCCCGGGACCCCCCAGACCGGCCCTGGGACCCCCGGGCGCTCGGAGCCCCGGTACCGGGGGGGTTCGGGACTCACCGCGCCGGTACCGGGGGGTTCGGGAGCGGTTCCGGGTCGGTTCGGGAGCGGCTCGGGAGCGGTTCCGGGGGTCCGGTACCGGCGGGGGGGGCGGGGGGGTCGCGCCGCCGCCCCCCCCCGGCTCCCCTCACGGCCGCACTTCCGCTTTCCGCCCGCCGCCGCGCTGGCCACGCCCACGTCCGGGGTGGGGCAGCATGCGAGAGGGGAGCCAGGCGCGCTCCTTAAAAGGCAACGGCCACGCCCCCTTACCGGCACGAGCCTGTCCTTAAATGGCTGTAACCACGCCCCTTAAATTGTTGGCGACACCCTTTAAATCTGCATAGCCACGCCCCGTAATTGGATAGCGGCACGCCCCTTACGGGCAAGGCTTCTTAAAGGGGCAACGCTTCTTAAAGGGGCAACGCCGCCCTGCCCGGTCCCTGCCCCCCAAATCCCACCCAGGACCCCCCAAATTCCCCCGGGGCTCTCCCCATGACCCCCAAATCCCCCTTGGGGGGGGTCTCTCCCTTTCCCTGCCCCCCAAAAACCCCCAGGACCCCCAAATCCCCTCAGGACTCCCCAAATCCCCCCCAATTTCCCCTCAGGACCCCCCAAAATCCCCCCAGCTCCCCCTAAATCCCCCCCTGGAACCCCCAAATTCCCCTC